CATACTTGACTAATTGTACTGCTTCTTGTTTGGGATATAATAAACTACACTTTTGATTCAAAATCGGACATTTCATATTTAAGGACCTAATACAATATAAAAAGTAAGAAATGAATCTGTTTTATAAATGAATAACATAATCATACTGAATGGGGTAGGAAGAAAAGAACTAACCTAAGTAACTTTGGAAAACAGTATCCTAACGGGATACTATAAGACAAAAAACAAAAAGAAGGATACAAAAGTAATACATTTTACTTAGCAAATCTGTCACAGGGGTAGGAATTGGCAATTCTGAAATAATTTTATGTGTACACTAGGGTTGAACAAGTAAATATACTGTAAATAATGAGAGTCAGGTTTTTCACTATTCATGAAAGAAATTACAAAAAAGAAGGAAGACTAGAATAAAACTTGTGATGTTGGACTTGAATCAGAGGTATCAGTATGAACTTGTGATTTTTAATATACTATATACACAGATAAAAATTAAATATAAATGTGTGTACATGTGGGTTTATTGCATATGTAGTATATGCAATATAAACGTCCTAACTCCGTCTTCTGACAGGGCCAGAAGTAATGACACTCCAGGAGCAATGAGCACACCTAGCACCAAAACACTGATTTCTAAATGCCATTCTGTAACAACAACAACAAAAATCAGAGCTTCTTGAAGAAGTAGCTGATTCCAGGGCTGAGACGGAGAAAATTCAAGTCTTTAATACCTTACAGTGTCAAAAATAAGAAAATGCTCCTAAAGCGGGGGCATGCTGAAAGGACACAGGAGCCAACCTGAGGAGCCTTCACAAAATCGCAAACACTGGACTGAGTTTCAAAATATGGGTAGAAATTTGCCACGGAGACTATTAAATAGCAGTATGTATGTAGGCCAGGAATCATAGAATATCACAGTATAAAAAGAACTACAGGTGACTCAAGACTTTTGAGCCATGAGGTACTACTTCACAATAGAGAATGAGGATGAAAGGCAGGCAGGGGTCATTCATTGTAAGAGTCTTACCAGGACAAGCTAAGGAGTTTGAACCTTACTCGGTAGGTGACAGAAACCTGAAGGATTTTAAACTGGATAGCAAGATAATCAGGTATGGCTTTTCAAAGGTTTCTCAAATTTTTTACATGTATCAGATTAAAGGTATATTAGATAAGTATTAATATATCTGATGTTTTATCATTGCCAAAATATCATAACTTGAGATAATTTACTGAAAACACAAAATTGGTCAATCAGAAATCTTAAGAGTTGGTTTAAGAAACTACTGAAATGTTTCCTATAAAAAGAAAAGGAAAAGAAAATTTGTAAGTGGAATTTTTAAGTATCAGAAGCATTAAAAGCTGCAGTTTGCTGCACAGGCAGGAAGCTTTTCAGTCCATTTTAAAAACTGAAAATGATCCCTTGCTCATTCTCTTCACAGATGCATACCCCTTCCCTCACAAGCGTTCTTGGCTAATGCAGGCCTGCTTGTTCTTACATTCTACCTAAAAAACACCTAATCTAGATCCCATTTGCAATGTTGCAGTACCCACAGCCACACAAAGCTGCCTACCTGGATTATCCCAGTTATCCCTGCTAAGTACCAATTTTTATTTTCGTAAGTTTCTGAAACATGTATATTTTTAAAATTGATGTCACTTGTAGAAGTGTTGAGAACATTAACATAAATTGTCAATAAAATTAGCTTTTTAAAAATCACAACCTCAATTTAATCAAGTGATATACACCAGAATGTTAATGGATAAAATCTTATCCTATCTTCATGTAATTTAATATACCGGTGTATCACGGGCCTTAAAAGGTGGTAAAGGTTGCTATGAAACGAGCGACAGGCAAAGCGTAAGCCCAACACATATGATAATATAGATAATTTTAAATAGTGGAAGTTCTCAGCTGTCACTGAGACACATCTAGATGTAAACATACTACGATGTAACTCTCATTTACATCCAGATAAGGTTCTTTTTCCAAGAATGACAGAGAGAGTAACAGCAACAGCACCCAGAAAATTGTGTCATCCATGATTTGTCAATAATAGAACTTAATGAGACACTATTACTTTTAACTGTGACAGTAACAAATTATTTTAGTCCTTGTAAGTTGTAATTTTATAGTGATATTTTATTTTCGTTTTTATCCAAGGCATAACATTTCATAGGAAGCCGGGACAGCTGAAAAACGATTCGAGCATCTATGTCTATGTTACAGATAAAGGGTTGGCAAATTTTTTTCTATACAGGGCCAGATTGCAAATATTTTGGCTTTATGGGCCACACAGGGTCTCTGTCACATATTTTTCTTCTTTTTATAAACAACCCTTTAGAAATGTAATAATCATTTTTAGCACATAAGCTGTACAAACCAAACCATAGGCCGGATTTGGCCATTATGTTCTAGTTTGTCAATTCCTTCTATAGGGAAATGAAAATGAAACCATAAACATTTCTAATGGCTTCAGTATAGCAACAATAATCAAACAAGGCAAACAGAGCAATAAACCTGAAACTTATAATTAACACTATTCATATTAATAACTAATATAAAAGTATCAATTCTACATACTATAGCTTTTAAGAAAAAACTTTTGTTCTTTAAATTATATAATCATCCTCATTATTAGCATTGTTTGAAGAATGGAGGTTTGGGGTAAAACAATTGGCATTTTAAAACAATCGGCATTCAGTATTTTAAAAAATCTGACTATATCAAAATGAAAGATTTCTATTTAAACAAAGGCATAGCGGGATAGCAGACTGGAAGACAGACAGCAATATCTGTGGAATCACTGTCTAGATTATACACTGTCTAGACAGATATTGCTGTCTGCTAGTAGCAGACAGCAATATCTGTGGAATCACTATCTAGATTATACAAGAAAGCTCTGTACATCTACAAGAAGCCAAATTTTTAAAAGACACACAAAGTCAAAAGATAAAAGATATACACAGATAATTCACAAAAGAGAAATGACTGACAAGTATATGAAGAGAGGTTTATTATCATTAGTTATAAGATAAACAAAATTTTGAAAAAAGAGCACTGTAAACCAATGGAAGTGGTAACATTTACAGAGCTGAATAGTAAGAAGGGTTAGTGAGAATATGGGAAGACAATGTCTCTCATGCATTACTAGTAAGAGGTTATAAACATTTACAGCCATTCTGGAGATCAGGCAATTCCTTATTTATGTACCTTCTGATATAGTAGTTTCACTTCTAAGTTTATACTTAGAGAAACCCTTGTCGGGATACACATGGGACATATATGAAGATGTTAGTAGCAGGGAGCTGGAGGTGACCAGAAATCCAACACCAGGGGAATAATAAATTGATAGGTAGGTACTAATGGCATACTAAGCAGCAGAAACAAAGCAATGAACTAATTTGTATTTATCAGGGATATATAAAAACAATGCTGAGTAACAAAGTAAACAAAATGGCATCTATACCAATATATTGTTTATACAAATGAAGAATATATATGTATATTATACTAATACTCTGCAAAAGCATATGTTAAACACATTATATTGGTTATCTATTAAAGAGAGGAAAGAGAATGAGACAGAAATTGAAAAGAGGAAAATATAACTATTTGCACCTTAATTAAAAACAGTAAACAAAATTAGTTAGATAAGCCATTTTTTTGCCTTATACAGAGACAATTTATTTTCAACAGCTGATTTTAGTATTTATTACATGCTCATAAAATTATTTTATATATACCATATTGTATCCTGTTGCCCATATTCTCATACTCTACACTTTTTTCGTAACCACCTTTACCCTCCCTAAAAACATATGGTGTGATTTATTTCTCTGCACTCCATCCCACTCCCAAAAGTTTTTGGTTTAATTAAAATTAGAATACATTCATGGAAGTACAGTGCATAAACATCACATATTATGTACAATAAACATAAAAAAGTCTAGCATTCTATTTGAAAATTATTTCATACTTCATTTTCATTAAAGATAACTTTCACTGTTAATCATTTCATACTATATTATGCTAAATACCACAAGAGGGAGCTTTGGGTACAATCAAATACTCCACATATTAAATACTGAGTAATGGTTGCAGAAGATAGTAACAGTCTCCATCAAGAAGACCAAAAAAGTAAAGGGATGTTAAGTTTTAGCTGGGTAGACTAAAATGGCCTATAAATTATAGCACAGATTCTGAATAAGCAAAGGCATTATGACATTAGAAAAGTGATTAGTCATATCACCTGAGCTTGGATGAACATGGAATGCTGATGAAAGTAGGATGACTAATAAAAGTAAATGTTGCATAGGTGGCATGAATAAGTTGAGGTAAAGAGAAAAGAAAATTATCTTTATTTATAATAAAGGTCTTGACTAGATAACTAACAAGAAATAGATTAGCCATATAAGCATACTGGAAGGTTATGAAAACCACACAAAAGATGAAATATAGTTTTCTGTCAATATATATTAACATTTACAAGTGATCTCCTAGATCCAACATGATCCCTCCCAGTAAGGAATTACTGCCAGGACTTACATTACATTTACAGAGAAAAGGGTAAGACATACAAATTTTTTAACCAAAATAAATCAGTATCATAATTAGCTATAAGGTTAATGTCACTGAACCTATTAATTATAATATAAATTGTTCGACAGGTAAAGTATCACAATAGATGATGCCCCCAAATTTATTCCATATGGTTGATACAGACGGGGGTGGGGTAGAAGGTAGTAACGTAAATTCTTTTCCTTACCTTACTTCCTTTTTAAAAGGAAAACCTCAGAAATAACAATGGTGGTGGAAATGCCCATTACCATAAATTTAGATTTTGTGTCCTACTTCTTTACCTATATCATTATACACATGAACCAGTTTTGACTGGTAACAAATGCTTATCAACAGTCCATGAGGAAGATAACAAAGACAGCTGAGTTTTTATTTCTCTTGGGTCTACCAAATCTGCCAATTAAGTATTCTATAGCTAGATGAATGAAATGTTTTAATTTGGCATTATCTTGTTTGAGTTATTACAGTTAGAAAAATTAAATTTATCTTTGTCCAAAACCATGAAGTCCTGATTTTAGGTATTTCATTTACTTTTGTTTCTCAAAAAACTAGCATTTTAAAAAATTTGCTTACTTACTTCATCCATCTTCATACATGTGCCAAAATCTGCTAATTTTAGATGTCCATGTTTATCCAAGAGCATGTTGTCAGGCTTCACATCTCTGTGTATTAAACCCATGGAGTGTATTGCATCCAGAGCAAGAACAACTTCAGCAGTATAAAATTTGGCCCATTTTTCGGGCACATCATAATTACTCATAAGGTTTACAAGGTCTCCACCAGGCATGTACTCCATTACCATGTACAGATACCTATCATCTTGAAAGGCATAAAAGAGCTGGAAAACAAAAGGAAAAGGGAAAAAAATTTAAAAAAAAACAAAAAACCCATAAATAGAATAAAAACCAAAACCTACCATTACTATTGAAAAAGACAAACTATTTAATAACCAAAACTAAGTTAAATTTATGAAATCTTCTATTTTAGACTTTGATATGTGTAATGGAAAAACACCATGTGAGGACACAAGGATAAGGGACCATCTACAAGAAAGTGGACCCTCAACCGACAATAAATCTGGCTGTGCCTTGATCTTGGATTTCCCAGCCTCCAGAACTTTGAGAAATAAATTTCTGTTGTTTACAAGCCACCCAGTTTATGGTATTTTGTTATAACAGCTCTAATGGACTAAGATAGGACTGACTAACAAACAAATACAGTCAAAAAGATAACATCAGAATATCTTCATGACATAAAGGAAAAGTTTCTCAAATGAACACAGAAGGCCATTAACCATAAAAGTTTGACTAAACTGTACTGCATTAAAATTATACATTTCAATCCATCAAAACATACTTAAAAAAAGGAGTCAGAAGGCAAGTCACACAGAGGGTATCAGAGCTCAAAAGGGGAAGGAGCATTCAGGTAAGAGGATGGCTGACATGGGATATCAAAGCCCAAGGAGGGTGAGAAGGACATCCAGGGAAAGGAGTAGCCTAGTGGGGGATATCAGAGCCCAAAAGGAACGCGTCAAAGGAAGACTGAGAAAATGTTCAAACTGAAAGAAAATAAATGTGATGTCACTTGGAACTGGATCCTCTTGCTATAAAAGACATTACTGGGACAACTGGTGAAACTGCAATGGGGTCTGAGTATTAATCAGTAATGTATCAATGTAGATATCCTCATTTCCAAGAAAGTTGCTGTGGCTATGAAGCAGAACATCCTTGGCTGCTGGAAATACATACTTAAGTATTAGGAGGTTATCAAGGACTAGATTTGTGTTCAGTTCCCCCAAATTCATTATGTTGAAACCCTAAACCCCCATGTGATATTTGGAGATGGGGCCTTTGAAGGTGATAAGGTCATGAGGGTAGGGTTCTCCTGACAGGATTGGTGCCCTTATAGAAAGAGACAGGAGAGAGCTTACTTCCTATCTCTGCTCTCCACTCTACAGGGATACAATGAAAAGGCCACCATCCATAAACCAGGAAGAGAGCCTTCATCAAAAATCCAGTCATGCACCCTGATCTGACTTCGAGCCTCCAGAATTGTGAAAAATAAAAATGTTGTTTAAGCCACTCAGTCTATGGTAATTTGTTATAGTAGCTGGACAGAGGGTGATGGGGCATGAGGTCAGCAATTTACTCTCAAATGCTTCAGAAAAAGTCCTAAGTCCTTTGTATTTCCAACCTTCCTATAAGTCTGTGATTGCTTGAAAAGAAAAAAAAAAAAAGGAAAGTCACAGTTTGGGAGAAGATATTTGTAACAATATGTGCAAAAGGCTCATATCCAAAATAAATAACAAGAATTCCTACTAATCAAATTTTTTTTAATTGACAGACATCTTAATGGGAAAATAAGCAAGAAACTTAATAGGTATTTCACAAAAGGGGATATTCAAATACGAAAAGGTATTCAACTTCATTAGAGAAAGGTAAATTTCAACCACTGTGAGACAACACTTTGCATGCACAAAAATGATCAAAAATTTTTAATCTGGCCGGGCGCGGTGGCTCACGCCTGTAATCCTAGCTCTCTGGGAGGCTGAGGCGGGCAGATTGTTTGAGCTCAGGAGTTCGAGACCAGACTGAGCAAGAGCGAGACCCCGTCTCTACTAAAAATAGAAAGAAATTAATTGGACAACTAAAAATATATAGAAAAAAAAAAATTAGCCGGGCATGGTGGCGCATGCCTGTAGTCCCAGCTACTCGGAAGGCTGAGGCAATAGGATTGCTTGAGCCCAGGAGTTTGAGGTTGCTGTGAGCTAGGATGACGCCACGGCACTCTAGCCCGGGCAACACAATGAGACTCTGTCTCAAAAAAAAAAAAAAAAAAAAAAATTTTAATCTGATAATGCCAAGTTTTGGCAAGGATGGGAGACTAAGAGAATTTATAAAAGGAACTGCTCTAGCCACACTGGAAAACAAGCTGATATTATGACTAATTATAAGTACCTAGAAATGCCACTTTTAGGAACACACCTACCAGAAATAAGCACAAGAATACTGATGATAATATTACTTGTAACAAACAAAACTCTGAAAATATACCAACAAATTGTGTTACATACATACAATGGAATAAAATACAGCAATGAAATTAATACACTGTAGCAACAAGGATAAATCATATAAACATAACATGAAACAAAAAAAGGTAGACACAAAAGAAGATACATTCAATGATTTCACTTACATAAAGTCAGGTGCCAGTGCTGGCACCTTGATATTTGACTCCACAGACTCCAAAATGGTGACACATAAATTTCTTTTCTTTATAAATTACCCGGTCTGTTACAGCAACACAAAACAGACTAAGACAAAGTGTGTTTGCAATGTTTTACTACTTCAAAATTGAAAGATTAAAATTCATTAAGGGAAAATGTTAAAATTTGCCAAACTTATGTTAAGATTAAACCAAAGAAAGTTCCCAGATGGCTCACTTGTTAGACAAGCGAGGAAAGCCATTTACCAATGGTAAATTAATTGTGTTTGACTGCAGCAGCCAAAAAATGTGTCTAAAGAAAATCAACTGTTTAAGACTATTAGTCTTTCGGCAACAACAGTTACTCAAACAGCTGAGGACTCTGAGAGGAGTATCAATAGTCAATGAAAAAACAAGGCAAATGATTCTGAGTGGTTTTCCTTGGTTCTTGAGTCAACAGATGTTACTGATACTGTTCAGTAGCTACTTACTTGAGGAGTCAGTGCTAACTTTGCAGTAAAACCTCTATGAAGAGTCTGCACGGAAAGAATATTTTCAAAGAAGTTGAGAAAACACTAAGTCAGTACAACCTGAAGTCGAATCTAAGATGTGTAACAACAGATGGTTATAAAAATATTTGTAGAACAGAAAAAGATTTAGTTGGACAAATTTACAAAGCTTGTGAAAATGTAAGATGTTTAAAGTCTATGGTTATTCATTGTATTTAATAGTATTCATCAACAGGTACCAAACAGAAAATAATCTAATCCCTCATATTAATAAATAAGTAGTGTCAATGGTGTCATTTGTTGTGGACTTAACTGTCATCATCAGTTTTGGGAATTTTTGTTAGAAATAGAAGGTGAATATCCTGACTCACTCTATCACACATCAGTTCAATGGCTTAGCAGTGGTAACATTTTATTGCAACTATTTGAGCTCAGAGCTGAGACTGAAATTTGAACAAGAAGAACTGCCCTCAACCACTATTATCAAACACTGAATACCTTTGGAAATTAGCTTTTGCTATAGACTTGATATTGTTTCTTAATTAATACCACCTAAAATTACAAGGCCAAACAGTGCTTATATACAAAACTTATACTGTAGTACAAGCATTTGATGACAATTAACAATAAGCTGTTTTATACACTTCCCATGCTATCAAAAGTTAAAAATAAGCAGCAAAATCTTCATTGCTACACAAATTTGTAGCAGATATATTTTCTGAGCTCAAACTAGTTCCACAGTTTCAGCACCATTTTTAGACCAAATGTGAGTGCAAAGGAAATATCCTTATTACCAAATCCATTTAAACTTTGCATCTAGGGAGCTTCTTTTACCTAATCTTCAATTGGAAATAATTAATCTGTAATGTTATGACCTTGTTAAACAGCAAGTATCAAGAGAAGAATTTTTTAAATTTCTGAAAATGACTTCTGCAAGTGATAAAGATGGTCAATCACAATTACATGCTTGAGGTCAACATCAACAGTCATAAATAATGTATTAGTACATACTTTTCACATAACAACATACGAAAATGGCACTTTACCTCTCTAGTCTTTCAAAAACCCATAATCCTCGTTTAATTTTTTTTTTTTTTTTTTTAGAAACAGGATCTTACTCTGTCACCCAGGCTGGAGTGTAGTGGCATGATAATAGCTTACTGTAACTTTAAATTCCCAAGTTCAAGCAATCCTCCCACCTTAGTCTCCCAAGTAGCTAGGACTACAGGGGTGCACGACCACCCCTGGCTAATTTTTTAATTCTTTTTTGTAGAAACAGGGTCTTCCTACATTGCCCAGACTGGTCTCAAACTCCTGGCCTCAAGCGATCCTCTTGCCTCAGACTCCTGAAGTGCTGGGCTTATAGGCGTGAGCCACCATGCCTGACATCTAGTCTAATTAATAAGAAAAACATCAGATAAATTGCAATAAAGGAGCATCCATATCCTATAATATATCACCTGACAAGTACTCCTCAAAACTCTCAAGGGCATTAAAAACAAGGAAAGTATGAGGAAACTGTCACAGCCAAGAGGAACCTAAGAAGACACGGTAACTAAATATAATGTGGTATCCTGGATGGGATCCTGAGATATACAAAGAACATTAGGTAAAAACTAAAAAAAAAAGTGAACAAATTATAGATTTTGGTTAATAATAATGTCTCAATACTGGTTCATTCATAAATTTGTAAGATGTTAATAATAGGGGAAACTGGCCGGGCGCAGCGGCTCACGCCTGTAATCCTAGCACTCTGGGAGGCCGAGGCAGGCGGATTGTTTGAGCTCAGGAGTTCGAGACCAGCCTGAGCAAGAGCGAGACCCC